TCATCTGTATACACTCTTTTCATTATTAATTCCAGAAGCACAACACCATATGCAAAAACATCACATTTCTCAGACCATCCACCTGTGAAGAGATTCTCAATGTAAATGTCATTCAGATTTCATACAATGAGAAACACTAACTGCAGAATAACAAGCTTATGATTACATTGCAAGAAACATGTAAGAAAAAGTTAATACAAAAGTGAAAAAGAAAAGATTAGAGTGATTTGTCACAACCCACTAGTTGTAAGGTAGCTCTTAGAACGCTAACTGCAGAAGCACCAGCATACATTAGAATAGGGTAAATTAGAGACAGAGCATGGCATGCTAGGGAGTATCTCATCCCTATTTAACACAATACGTGTCATATCAGCACTGAATAGATCCACAAATACAGGTACTTTCCCTGCCTTATCTAGTTTTCCTCTTCCATGATGGGAATCAAGACGACAGCACATGTACCATGTCAAGGGATCTATTACACATTCGAGGAGGTCCAGTGACAAGAGCTAGAGTTAAAAAGATGCAAGAAGCTTGAAATGGCTTTATTGAGCAGATCTAGGTTGAAAACAACATGCAACAAGTAAATCAAAGCTTGGATGATTATCAAGGCATGGTAAACATCATTCAAGTTCAAAGGAAGCTTAATTGAGGTCATTCACGCTGAATTACACAATTTGCGTCAAAATACACAATTTTGCCGCAATTGGTAGCAAACTGATATTTCATGTGTTTTTAGGTTATTTTGAGTGATTTTCACAATTTTTTTTTTTATTTTTGGGCTGAACATTCATTTATTTGAAACCCAATTTGTGGTTATTAGGTTTAACACTTAAGGTGTTAATTTCCTATTCTGATTAGGATTAGTTTTCCCTATTTAAAGGGCTTGTAACCCCAATTGGGAGGTAACTATTGAATCTGAGTATTTTGAAAGACTTTTCTCTTTGGTTCGTTTCAAAACTTTAAAGAACTTATCAAGATTATTCTTGTGACGTTCTAACTTGATTTATCATTCTCGTTCTTAACCATTCAAGGGTGTGGCGTCAACCAACTTTATACCTCTGGTTTTTGTTGCATCATAGACAACGGGTCAAGGCTTTTACCTTTGGTTCTTGTTGCGACATAAACAACGGTCAAGGTCTTATCATAAACCTAATTTGGCTTTCCTGGAGTTTCAAAATCCCTTGTCATGCTGTGGGTCTCATTGTTCTCGTTGGGGTTCCCATCACTCCACTTTCTACCACAATATATTGACTTAAATATCAGAGTACCCTCTCTTTGGAGGGAAATCTAACTAGGCTCTTCTCAGTGGTTGCATACAGTGAAAAGTAACAGAGGTGGAAGTTTCTCATGCACAGACACCTAACCCTTTAATTTTCCCATGATTTTACAATAGACTTCTTTAAGTACTTTAGAAGGTATAAGTAAATGGTATGTTGTAAGCTTTGAGAAGAATTCCGACAATGCAAATACTTTTCTAGAACTTTAACCATACATGGGATATAAGATGTTGGATAGACATACCTTGGGCAAGACTTGGATCAATATAACCATAACAGCCGTGTACATGTTGACATAGAATATCCTTTTTATCAAAAACAATCCCCCCAGATAACATACTGAAGTCAATTAATATTGGGTTGTAATCCTACAAATATTCAAGAAGACTTTTAAACTCAGTAAAATATGTCATTGAGAGAAAAACCTGACACATTGATGATCTAGGAGAAGAAGAATCAAACCTTGTCAACCATTATATGAGCTGCATCTATATTGCGAATCAGATACCGTGAATAGCAATGCAGAATTTCAAGAACGGATGCTAATCCAAAAGCAACCTTGATTCTCTGTAGCCAGCAAAAACTATCTGAAACCAAATTCCTTTAGGTAATGTCCTAACAATTTAGAACCAAAAAGAGGAGCTAGAAGACAGATTTCTTAAATCTGTCCTACTATGGCTAAGAAGAAAATTTGTCCTTCACAAGTTTTTCTTTACATACATACTATCATCATTAAAATCACTCACACAACTTAAAGACTTAGAGACTCCAATTCCCATACAATAATTCTTCAACCAGCACTAAGGATGGTTAACGCAGAAGCCTATGGAAGTAGTTAGACTCCACACAAAAGCATAGACAACCCATTTGAAGCTTGAGAAGGAAGGATTCAAATCCTAAGGACCAAAAATGGGAATTTTGATAAAAGAGAAAAAGCTAGTTATGAGTAGAAATTCATTTATTTCCCACTAACTCCAATAAAATGTCACTATTGATTGGCATTATAAACTCTGATCCCTGTCCAAAAATAGCCAAATGAAATAGTAGTACTACAGCATTTGTTCAACTGAATTTAATAGAAGCATATACACATACATTCTGGTTTTAGATTATTTAGAGCATCCTGCAGAGCATTGATTTCATAGACAGGAGATATACCTTTTGGTATTAGATTACTCAAAGCATCTTGTAGCGCTTTCAATTCATAGATGAGAGCAGCCTGTTCAGGTTCACGTTGATACCAATATCCAATCAACTTGGGCAGATTGGGGTTATTACGTTTAAATAGCTCAGCTGCTTGCATTTCATCCTAGAGTGTAAAAGATAGTATTTAGACATAAGAACATTTTTTGAAGAGGGACAGGTACATAAAACAGAAGTTAAGCAACTTACTCTAAATCTCTCATGAGTGTCTCCTGGATAAACTTTATAAATTAAAGGATCTTCATAAATCTTCACCAGTACCTCCAAGTCTTCCCATTTATTATCCTCGATAATATTGTCAGAACCGTCTTCCCATATTCCACGGTACAGTTTGCCAAATTGAAATTTTCCAATAAAATTTTCTTCACTAAATTCATTTGTAAATAAACATAAATATTCATAAGGTATAAGTCCTACCATAGTGGAGCTAATTTTTCCTGATCAAGCAATCAAAGAAATAAGTAGAGTAGTCAGTGTATTATGAAAAGAAACACTGCAGCGAATACGTACAATAATGACATTATAATTTTACTTCCGCCTTAAATTCTTGTTTGGATGGTTAAAGTTTTGTGCAGAAGGAATAATAGTATTAGCAGCATTCATGAAAGATCATCAAGCCAAAAACATATATAATTCATAAAAGAAATAGTCATGTAAGGTGACTGCAGTGTATACTGACATCAATTCATGTTTTATATATCAGATTTTTTATGTTTTGTGCTTTATGTTACACATCAGGAGGAAGAATAGCTCTAGCAAAAAATTTTGGCAAAGCCAAACAAAACCTAAAGTGTAGTTACAGTTGTCGAAAAAAGTATTTTTGTTTTCCAGGATAATTCCAAACAGCAAATTAAAAAGATTA